CTGCACCTCCATATAAAAACCAGTAACAGAAATGGGGTAAATAACCAGACACTGGACATTTTTATGGCAGGGACAGAGCGGGACTAAACCCTGTTAAAAGATCAAGAGGTCAGGGCTTCCCTGGTGGCGCAGTGGTTGAAAGTCCGCCTGCCGATGCAGGGCACACGGGTTCGTGCCCCGGTCCGGGAAGATCCCACATGCCACGGAGCGGCTGGGCCTGTGAGCCATGGCCGCTGAGCCTGCGCATCCGGAGCCTGTGCTCCGCAACGGGAGAGGCCAGAACAGTGAGAGGCCCGCGTACCGCAAAAAAAAAAAAAAAAAAAAAAATTCAAGAGGTCATACATTTCCCATCCTTGGGGCAAAGGAGACATTGCACATGTGCAGAAAGACTCCTTGGGGGTCAAAAAGGAGGGGGCGCCACCCCATAATAGGTGATGCTAAGGCCGTCCCATAGGCCTCTGGGCTGTAATCCATCTTGGAAAAACGTTGCGCACGCGTGTTGGGGAGGGTCCTAGGGCAGGGCAGGTGTGGAAAAAGAAACCAGGTAATTGGCCAGAGGTAAACACAGACCCGGAAGAACCGCCCTATATAAGTGACTTACCCGCCTCTTCACGTCGCTCCTCCTCATTGGGGGGACGCCCACACCCTTGCTCTCTGGGTGTGCATCTCTGCCCTGCTTCTGTCTTAACTAAACAAACTGTTTCTCTGTGTGCTCTCCCACTTGTTTTGCTGTGTCTCTAATAATAAACATTGTACCTGTTCTTACAGTTCTGCCTCTGTGAGAGGCATTTTTCACTGGGGCAAGAGCCAGGGAGTGTGGTGGCTAAGATTACTGGTTTTCATCCAGGCGACCCAGGTTCAATTCCTGGGCAGGGAATTAAGATCTCCCTTCACGCCGCCACTCACTGCTGCCTCTCCCAGACCAACCCCAACTGCGGAGGGGACACTGTTAGGGAAGGTTCTGGCAGTTCTGAGCAGAACCCACCCCAGTGGTCTGGCACAAGTGTTCAGGGGCAAAGGCTCTGATCCGAGCACCAATATTTACCTTCTCTGTAGATTAGTCATAGGGATTTATTCACACCACGGACGTATACCGAGTACCTACTACACGCCAACACGATGCCAGGGCCATTTCACCGTGAACCCCTCAAATATAGCTCAAAGGTTTAAATGTGTAACATGGGCAGAGAGCCTGGCACATATTAGTTGCTCATTAAAGCTTCTTCCCATCTGCTAGGCACCCTCCCAAGCTGAGGCCAAGGTCAGAACAATGCATCCAGCAGCCTACGAGCCAGTCTCCTAGGCAATCAATCCTACTTCCCACCCATTAAAGCAGCAGCTACGCAAACCCTGGCTGTGGGGTGGGCATGGGGGGCGAGGGGGGCCGGCGTGCGGGTCAGCAGGACCACGGGGGCTGCCCAGGCCAATCCTCTCCTCTCTGGAGAGACCCAGAAGCAGGGTCACAGCCAGGACTGGCACTCCGGCCAGGTCTTCTGTCTTCTAGTCCCTCTGTCCCCAGCAGTCCTCCCAGGAAGCCCTAGGCCTCCCCAAGCCCCTTCCGGTCAGAGCATGCCTGGCCCTGGGCCTCTCCACCCTCCCACTTAGGATGGTGCTTCTCAGTGAGAATCCCCCTCCACAGCTGAGAGACAGAAAGTGAACCACAGCCCCCAACAGCAGCCATTCTCGGGCATCACTCCCAGGGCCTCCCACCCAGCAGATTTCAGGTGGGACAGGGCACCTGCACATTGTAGAAACTTCCAGGTGTCTTTCTTGCGAGCTCCATGAGGTCCAGAAGGCCCTGCTCTCTCTAACGAGGCTGGTGGATCTGAGAAGCATCCAGGGTGAAAGGGAGCTAATGGCAGAATTGCAGACAGGACGCCACCTGTCAAGTGGCTGAGACTCAAGTGGTAACATTTCAGGCACTCATAGGAGCTTGGCGGGACATGTGATTTGAGAGATGCGGGACAGCCGTCCGGGGTGCCCCCTTGAGAGGGATGCTCTGAGGACGTGGTCCAAGGCGTTGCTTCCCCGGGTGTCCGCAGCGAGGACAGGGACCCAACGCTCTCCTTCCCGGCGCCCAGGGGCCCCTTCCTCCGAGGGCCCGGGCTACGGATGCGCCACCTGCTGGCCTCGGAGCGCAGGGCCCGCACGGTCTGGCAACGCCCACCTGGTGGCCACTTGGGAAAGGACCCAGCTTGGGGTCCGGATGTGGCCGGTGTGCAGTTAAGTGGTGGCTGCCCTCCTTGGCATTTGTGCCCCTAAGTCTTGCCCAGAGCTCTCCCGTATGTGGCAGGCACTGCGGAGTACGGATGGGAGGATTAAAAGAGAGAACAATGATGGTGAAAAAGACAGTCATTTCATTCGGGCAGCTCTGAGTTTGCAGAGGCTTTAGTTAAAATCCTATAACAGAAGAAGGGGTGACAGTGGATGCGGTGGGTGCATAGGGGAGACCAGGAGTCAGGGGACACTACCCAGAAGAGGGGACATGTGTGCTGAGTCATGAACTCAAGGCTTCATCAGTCCTACAAGGGAGAAGGGCATTCAGGCTGAGAGAGCAGCTAGAGCAAAGCTCTCAACTCTGACCACACACTGGGGTCGATCGGGGACATTTTTTTCTTTTTTTTGCGGTACGCAGGCCTCTCACTGTTGTGGCCTCTCCCGTTGCGGAGCACAGGCTCCGGACGCGCAGGCTCAGCGGCCATGGCTCACGGGCCCAGCCGCTCCGCGGTATGTGGGATCTTCCCGGACCGGGGCACGAACCCGTGTGCCCTGCATCGGCAGGCGGACTCTCAAGCACTGCGCCACCAGGGAAGCCCATTCGGGGACCTTTAAAATGGCTCAGGTGGCACCCCCGACCAATGGCTTCTGAATCTCAGGGGGAGAGAGATGGGGAGACACATGAATTCTTTGAAGCCCCCAGGTGTCAGTGTACAGGCAAAGCTGAGAACCACCAAGCAAAGGCTTGGAGAAATGAGTTTACATTCCTGCCCAGGGGCATGGGAATAAAAAGCCCGAGGTAGATGGAATGTGGGGTGTGCAGGGCAGAGATGCAAGAAATGAAGAGCAGGAAGACATGCTGGGCCATTTCCTCAGAACCACAGAAGAATAACCAGTAGCAAATGACAGTGACCTTCAATTTACACAATGCGTGTCCCTGACAAACTCCATGTTTGCATTTGAACAGGACTCTCTACTGCCTTAGGAAGGGAGGGGCTGAGAGATTGAACACCACCTGCTATTACCTCCATGTTTCTGAGGATATACCTATTTTTGCAATCCTCTTTGAGCCTGGAAAACAGCAAGCACTCAATGAACGTTGACCAAACTGAACTTTGAATCTGATCCTGTGCTCTCACTTGAGTGGCCAGTCTTGATTACCTTTGGGTTTGAGGGGCTTTGCTGCACAGAAACTGGGCGACTGTGACTTCAGGGTTGTCAAGAAACTCCACAGAAACCCTAGTTCCGGTGGCTGCTGCCTGAAACCCCATGTCTTTCAGTGGTTCTGGTTCACACCGTGTCAATTCCATTTCCTGAGGTAGGTCTTAAAGAGCTGAAGGGGCAAAAAAACCTAATAGGTTTGGGGAAGAGGAGGAAAGATCCAGAAAGGAAGGCCTGCAGCCCCCTCTGACTGCTGACTTCCTTTCTTTTCAAACTGGAACCTCCGGCGCTTTTCATTGGTTTTTGTGATTTTTGTTCTATACCCCGGAGCGAAATTCACCATTTACCCAGGAGCTGACTGATTTGGCCAATCACAGGACACAAGCTGATTTTTCCAAGATTCTCTCAAAGAAGCATTCAAGAAACTTTGATTCTCTCAAATAAGACATTTCTAATAACTGACTAGGGAAACAATGGGACTCTTGTAGTACTACGTGCGTGGGCCAACCAGTTCATACACCAATTTGGTACATCCTCTCCCAGGCTGGGGTCCCCAGCAGTGACTCTGAGACAAAGCTTTGTGTGCAAGTGGGTCATCTGGGGGTGATCTCAAGAGGAGGGGAGATAGGAGACAGAGAAATGAAGGAAGCCATACAGGGTGGACTGTTGGGCGAGTGAGGCTCGATTCCCCTGGGGGAGACGGTGTTGAACGTGGCACAAGAAGCTGGGGCCATACATCCACCCACTCCCATCGGTCACTGGTTCAGGGCTGCTCCCAGGAGCGTTCATTCCTCGGCACTTCTAGCCTGCCCTGCGCATGCCTATGCTTTAGTGGCCGGAGAAAGTCCTCAGGCAAAGGGAACTGGAGTAACAGGCCATATGGGAGGGGTACTTACAGCATCTGCCACGCAGATGCCCCATTCACAAGCCAACTCATTCATGAACAGGTCACGAGTACAGCCACCAATGAGTGCCAACCCTTACACGTACCCATGCACTCACATAAGCATCAATACTTTCCCATGCCAACTCGTTCAGGAGGTGCGATCATGTGCTGCTTGGTGAGAACGCTGGTCTACACCGAATCTGGCAGTCAGGAACTATCCCAGGCCCCTGTGAACACAGGTGACGATTCCTCTCAGTGCCAGCAGTGTATGTTACAAGGGCTGGGATGGGGCTGATCCCGTGCACGCGCTCATCCAAGAAGAGGTGGCTCAGTCTGGCTCTGTTTCCTCAAGGGTAAATGGGGAGCAGCTCAGGAAGATTGTAATTCAGCGGAAAGTACAAATTGCAAAAACAAAAGGTAAATTTTTTCTCACGTTGCAAGAAATCCAGTGACATCTGTAAGGTGGTTTCATCTACATTAGGTGGGGCTTTTGAAAAATGAAGACAGGGCAATTAATTGAACTTTGGAGGATGGTGACAGTTTTTGTCTAATGTCCCGATAGGAAGGGCACTGGCCACATCTCTGCAGGGCCTCGAGACTGCATTCAGCTGTCATGCAGGGTGTGACTCTGAGGCCTCAGGTGACAGGCTGCAGTGCCACCAGCTCTAACTACACTGCCCCAAAAGGCAAGACAGCCAGCCGGGCCGGCATCATCACACGAGAGTCGATAGAGCCTTCACTTTTTAACAGGATTGTAACACTTTCCATTTGCAAAGAACAGCACGACATTTCTGTAGATGTGAATCAGCCTGTTTTGCACCAACTTGAAAGCCATGCACACAATCTCCATCCCAACGATGATATACATGGAGAAGAACAAGAAGAAGCGAGGCTGTTCGAAAGCAATGTCCCCAAACCCAACGGTGGTCAGCGTGACAGAGCAGAAACAGAAGGCATTTTCGAAGTTCAGCTGCTTCTCCCAGATGGGGGGGATGGCAGCTGCATAGGAAATGTAGGCGACGACCACGAGGGCGATGATGGGGAGGGGGGATGTCCAGCCTCTCCTCCTGCCGCCCCGCCTCATCCAGGTTGTTGATGATGGAGTACGAGAGTCTCCCGAACACCAGCTCAGGACACGAAGAGCTCCCCTCCATGGCCTGAGGGGGCACCTGCAGTGTGTTCCCTTTCTCTCGTGCTAGAAGTCTCTCGAACAGCTCCATGTTGCTGCTTGGGATTGAGGGGGCAGGTTTGGGGCCCGGGAGCTCTGGGTCGTTGATGGCAATCCTCGGGATGGCTTCGTCTACGGGATTGATGTCAGGTCTTCTTTCGCAGGGGGGGTCCGGAGCGCCACTTGGGAAGGGGAGGGGGGAGGAAAGGAGTTTTTGGAATTGGTGGTAGGACATGGATAAGATGGTTGCCAGGATGTCGCCTGTGTCTGAGAGGACCAGGAACATCAGGGGGACGCCAAAGAGAGCACAGAGCACGCACAGGTGCTTGCCAAGCCTGGTGACAGGGTAGGTGTTGCCGTAACCTGAAAAGGAGGACAGAGCCCGGGATTGTCGGCTGCTCTCCCCCCTCCCCTGCTCAAAAAACTTTAAAGAGACCTTCTGCCACTTCCTCTCCCTGGCATATGACATTTTACACAACATGTTTAAAAATATTCATCTTGGGGTTTCCCTGGTGGTGCAGTGGTTGAGAGTCCGCCTGCCGATGCAGGGAACACAGGTCCGTGCCCCGGTCCGGGAAGATCCCACGTGCCGTGGAGCGGCTGGGCCTGTGAGCCATGGCCACTGAGCCTGCGTGTCCGGAGCCTGTGCTCCGCAACGAGAGAGGCCACAACAGTGAGAGGCCCGCATACCGCAAAAAAACAAAAACAAATGAAATTCTGACACGTGCCACAGCACGGATGAACCCTGAAGACATTATCCTAAGTGAAATAAGCCAAACACAAAAGGACAAGTATTCTATGATTCCACATACATGAGTTTACCTAGAACAGTCAAATTCATAGAAACAGGAAATATTAGAGGTTGAAGCCTCCGTGCTCTTCAGGAGCCCCCTGCTCCCATCACCCCAGCCCTGCCCCCCGTGTCTACAGAGGGCAGGATCAGAGGGATGTGGAACCCCACAGCACAAGTCGCTGGATCTTCTGGGGTGGGCAAGCTCACTGCCTTCAACAAAGAGGGAGAAGCTCTGTATTTAATGCCTATGTTTAATTTTTGGTGTCATAAAGGATGACTAATACAGAAAACCCCAGCCCAATTATGTAAATTAATTGGAAGGCAATTCCCAGACTGGCTAAGCCCCAACCTCCTCCAGGGCTGCAGCTTCCTGTGCAAACTCTGGCCTCAGCCTCCGCCCTCCAGGCATACGCACGGGGCAAGGCTGCCCATCTTCATCAGGGTTCTGGAAGAGGGCTGTGGCCCTCACCAGGTCCCATCACTGTGCACCCCTCCCAGGGCACTCCACGCCACCCTGACTGCGCCCATGAGGTACCATTTGACGGCAGGGGTGGTGAACTCTCTGTGCGTTCATATTGTTTGTGCACGTGAGTGCTTACTGCATGCACTGGGACGCAGTGGTGAGCAAAGCAGATATGAATCAAATAACCACCCTCGTGAGTATGCAATTACAAGTGGAGATCAGTAACAAGATGTGTAAGAGCAGACCAACAGATTAGAACAAAGGCATCCATCCTGGATGGGCATTTATTGAGCACCTACTCTATGCCAGGCTTTCGTGGGTGGGATTGGGATACAATGAGGAACAGGCAGAGGTCATGCCCCCTGGGGGCTCCTAGTCGAGCAGGAAGCAAAGCCTTGAACTCAGCTCCCCACCTGTCCAGCAGGACCCAAGAGCTCAGGAGTGAGCCTGCACTGGCTAAACCCCCCATCAGAAACCTGAGGCTGTTCCGCAGGGCCAGACTTTCTAAGGGGGTGCCCAGGTTTTCTGTTGCCTCTCTTTCCCTTCCCCATTCCCTGCAGGTCTCCAGCAGCTCAGCCCTCCCCTCAGGGAGAGGAGGTTGCAGAAATGACCTCAGGACAGCATCTTGGTCCAGGCTTCGGTGAAAGCCCAGAAGCACTGAGGAGATTGGGGTGGGAAGGGGTCTCAGGAAGAGGGAGGGGGTTGGGGACAGAGGGGGGCCCTGGAGAGGATGACCAGCGGCCCAATGTGCCCAGGACTGAAAGTCTCATGTTCTGGTAAACCCTTAAATGCTAAAACCACGGCAGCCTCGGGCACACCAGGGAGTAGCTCGCTCTAGCCAGGGTGATTGTGGAGAGTGAGGAGCGATTCTCCGGAGCGGGGAAGAGAGGAGGGGGCCTGGAGCCCCTCGTGGTGGGGCAGGAGCTCAGAGAGGCCTGGCCGTGGAGTCTCAGGAGCCTAGGCCCCGGTGTCAGCAAATATCCCTGCTCCTGAGATTGTCACAGGTCTTGCAGTCCTTAGGGGTATCAGCAGCAGGGCCCGGGGGCAGGCAGCCACCCTGTTTTCCAGATGTTGCCTGGAAGCCCCCAGCTCTCGTGCACCCCTAGGAAAGTCAGGAGAGGCTCCCCAGTGGAAGCCCCCCAGCCTCCAGGATGGAGTCCCAGGGTGAGATCTATTTTATTTAAAGGAAAGAATATCACATTTCTTACAGGATTTATGGAGAAAATTGCCTTTAAGAGTCAGAATTTCCCACATAGCAGAACCCCTAATGCTGGCAACCACCGTCGTTACTGCATTTAATAGACAAGGAACAGGGGAGTCAGGTGACACGTCCGGAGTCGCACAGCCCACAGCCTGTGGGCACCCCTCACCTGAAGACCTCCCTCCACATGCATGCTCTCCTTGGCAAAGGTGGGTTTAGTGGATTACAAACAAAGTCATCGTGGCTGCCTCTGGGTGGAATATGTTTACAGTCCAGAGGACATGCCACATTTGCAGAGAACGCATCAAGGAAGTAAGTCTCAGAGAGCACAGGCCCCTATGAAGGAAATGTATTGCCTACCCAATTACTGAATGCTAAAACGCATTATGGAAAATCATATTATTTCTTATAATGCATGCCGATATTCCAATTCCATCAGTCCACGCCACTTAGCCTGTGAGGATTTAACAGCCCATACACTTCCTAATCCAAGGGGGCTGATCCAATTGGGAATGACTGGGGATTGACCAACCTCATACCTTTCAGGGGTCCCTTTTTCAGCAAAAAGGTCAGGTGCATTTCAGGTGACCCAGAGATGCAGGACAGGAAGCAGTATTACCAGCAGGACCGTTATTGATGATGCGCAGCAAAGAACCTTCCCCAGTCCTCTTCCAGTTGTAATTACTGGATGGCTTGATGTCTTAGTGGACTTGTACCATGAGTGGCAGCATCGTTTTCTTGGGATATGAACCAAGCTAACGCATTTCCGTTAGGTCAGTGGTTCATAGCCTGGACTACCATTAGAATCACCTGGAGGGCTCTGAAAAATACTGATGCCTGGGTCTGTCCCTAGTAAGTCTGACGTGATTGGTGTGGGGTCCAGGCATGGGGGCGTGTAAAAGATATCCAGGTAATTCTGATATGCAGCCTGGCCTGAGAACACTTGCCCCAGGAGAGTGCTTCTCAAACATCTACGTGCATCACCTGGAGAACTGGCTAAAACACAGATCACTGGTCCCACATCCATTAGTTTCTGACTCAGTAGATCTAGGATGGGGCCTGGAAATTAATTTGTATCTCTAACAAGTTCTCCCTAGCGATGCTCACACCACTGGTCCAGGGACCACGCTTTAATAACCATTGCATTACATCAGTGGTTCTCAACAGGGGGCAATTTTGCCCCCCAAGGGCCATTTGGCAATGTCTGGAGACATTTTTGGCTGTTGCAACTGGCGAAGACAGCAGGGGAAAAGGTGGGTGCCTCTGGTGGGTAGAGGCCAGGGATACTTCCAAACATCCTACAATGAATGCATGGGACAGTCCCCGCCACAAAGCATCCTCTAGTCCAAGATGCCAATAGTGCCAAGGCTAAAAAACGCTGCCTTAGATCAGTCCCCTTTTGTTCTTGAGAAAAAACCTAACAAAACCCCATACTCTCAAGCCCGCTTGCTTCCAGTCTCTTCCTTGCGCTTGCTGATCCCCTGTAAATGTTGTTCCTCAAAGCATTCCCTGGAGGTCTGGGGTCCCTGAAAAGGCCAGTTGTGCCCTGCTTCTACCCTGCTCAAAACGACTTCCCTCCCAGAGCCCAAGGTCACTGCTGAATGGGACAGTCACAACACTTACCTCGTGGGGCTATCATGAGAATTAAACAAAATCATGCATATAGGGGCTTCCCTGGTGGCGCAATGGTTGAGAGTCCGCCTGCCGATGCAGGGGACACGGGTTCGTGCCCCAGTCCGGGAAGATTCCACATGCCGCGGAGCGGCTGGGCCCGTGAGCCATGGCCGCTGAGCCTGAGCGTCCGGAGCCTGTGCTCCGCAGCGGGAGAGGCCACAGCAGTGAGAAGCCCGCATACCGGAAAAAAAAAAAAAAATCATGCATATAAAGCACATTGGCACAACGCCTGGTGCTGGTAAGCGCTCGGTGGTGCAGCTATTAAGTTACTGTTACTCTTTCTGCTCCTGACCTGTCCCTGCTTGGATATCAACATTCAGGTGAATGAGACCGGTTCTGAAAGAAACCACATGGGGGCGCCCTTGGACACAAGCATATGTGCCCATTTAAGAAAGTGTGTTGCAGTAGGCACAGGTTGTTCACCCAGCAGCCATTCCCCCATCTTTCCCTGGAACGCTGCTTCTCTCTCACCTGATTTAGAGATAGATCCGATCCGTCTAAGTCATCCTGGTAATCCAATCCCCTTGCCAGGGACTGGCTTGGGGGGTGGGAGGCTTCCCGGAAGTTTCTTGCCGATTATGACAGCCAGCCTTTTCTCTATGAGATGCAATTATGCCCGGACGGGAAGTGGACCTTGGTGACCATCGTGTGACCCGCTGAGCAGGATGGAGAGAACCTGATACTCGATGTCACAGCTGAGCTGCACATCAAGCAGCCTGAGGGCTGTCCCCCACTGGACTTCCTACTTGGGAGGTGACACATTTTCCTTGCAGTTTAAGCCAACCTTGTTGGGTTTTCTGTCAGTCGCAGCTGACCCTCACGCTGACCCTCAGAGGCAGGTCTGGGAGGAGTTATAGATTAGGGAAAAAGGCTCAGATGGGCTAAATTGCTCACTGGAGGTCACACAGCTCTGACCCAAGGTGGCTGGCCCCCAGAGTCCGCAGCTGGCCACCTCTACCCCGAGTGTGAGGGGACCCCGGGACGAGTGCCCAGCCACGGACTTTGTGAGCTCAGGCCCCCCGGGGATCGGTATTCTCCTGAACTGATGCTCTCTTGAATGAAGATGGGGCCCCAGTACTTTTCACTGCCCAAGAGGGGCAGGGGCTGCGCAATGAGTCACACTCCTGGTGGGGATGCTGACCCAGGAGCCCCTGACCTGTGGCCGAGGGCAGCTCCACTACCTCCACTCCTGTGACCCCCTCACCACCAGCAGGGGTGGCTCCTGCCAGGCCTGGCTTGGCCTCTGCACCTGGCCCACCCTGCTGCTGCACCGCAGAGGGAAGCTGGGGCCCTTAGTTACTAGAAGGTCCTCCGATGCTGGCCCAGGGACACGGCGCCTGAGTGCAAGACCAGCCCCGCTTCTCACAGCCCGCCAGCCTCAGTGGTCTCTACCTCAGAGGGGCCTCTAAGCCCCGGAGCTTTGCCTGCTGCCTTGCTGGAAAGCTCTCTCAGCCTTTTTTTTTTTTTTTTTCCGGTACGCGGGCCTCTCACTGTTGCGGCCTCTCCCATTGCGGAGCACAGGCTCCTGACGTGCAGGCTCAGCAGCCATGGCTCACGGGCGCAGCTGCTCCGCGGCATGTGGGATCCTCTCGGACAGGGGCGTGAACCTGCGTCCCCCGCATCGGCAGGCGGACTCTCAACCACTGCGCCACCAGGGAAGCCCTCTCAGCCTTCTTTGCCTGGTTCATCTCCACAGATCCTTCCACTCAAATGTCACTTCCTCAGACAAGCCTCTCCCCCATCCCCAAAAGTCAGGACCACACTCCCCCACCCTGTCTCACCCACTTCCACAGCCCAAGCTTCTCCTCTTGAGCACGTCTGTGCGCTTAGCTGTTCATTGTTCCCGCCTCCATTAGACTCAGAGGCATCCAGCTATTTCAGCCCCATGCCAGGCACAGAAAAAGTCACTTACAGAGAGAGGCAGTGGGGTTTCAGGTTAAGACCCAGACAGCCTGGACCCAGACAGACATGAGCTGTGTCCCCTTGCAAAAATGGTGGACCTGCCTTGCCTCCGAGAGTGGGAATAATAACAACAGCTACCTCAGGGTTGTTGCGAGGTGTGAATGGGCTAATCACCACGAAGAACTTAAAAGGGAGCCTGATGAGTCTTAAATACACGTGGGAAGCAGCCGCAGAGCACAGGGAGATCAGCTAGGTGCTTTGTGACCATCTAGAGGGGTGGGATAGGGAGGGTGGGAGGGAGACGCAAGAGGGAGGAGATATGGGAACATATGTATAACTGATTCACTTTGTTATAAAGCAGAAACTAACACACCATTGTAAAGCGATTATACTCCAATAAAGATGTAAACAAGTAAATAAATAAATACACATGCGTTAGCCAGCGCAGCCGCTGCTGTTGCAATCATAGGCGTTCGGTATTTGTGAAGGAAGGAAGGAAGGAGAGAAGGAAGGGAGGGAGGGAAGAAGCAAAGGCCATCTCCACAGCCCAGTTCCAATGTGCGGTGTCACACAGGAGCCCACCCTCTGTGTAGCCACCGAGAGGAGGATCTGTGGCTTTGAGGGTCCACAGAGCCCATCTTAAAACGTGCAAGTGTTCACTGTAGGGAAGCAGCTCTGCCTCCACACCCTCCCCTCTGCCTGGGGCTCCGGAAAGGACTTCGCTGGGACAATGTGTCACACAGGAGTCTTTCCCTTGCTTGGAGGCTGGAGACACGTACAAAGCAAGTGCAGGGAACAGGGCGAGGCCAGCTCCTTCCTCTCTCCAAGTCCTTCCCTTCTGGGCACTGTCATCCACTCCATGGGGACACAGGAATCTGAGCGGCCCCTGCTTCCAGGCAGGGCGAGGCTCTCCCTGGGGCTCCCTGAGCGGGGGTAAGCAGAGTCTCCACAGCACCCCGCAGACCTGCAAAGCTGGCAGCCTACTCTGGGGAAAGAGCACTGGACTTGGAGTCTCAACAGCTCTCGTGGGCACCAGCTCCACTCACTGCGCGACCTTGGCCCCTGACGTCACCTCTCTGGGCTTGGGCTTCCCGACCTGATTCACTGTGGGCTTTAAAGGAGGCAGCTTAGCACGGCCCCTGCAGGCAACTGTGCGCTCTCCTTAGCGCTGCAGGTCCCCTTCCTCCTCTGCCTCATCGTTGGCGCTTCCGGGCCTGCTCTGGCACACCGTCCTCCCTCTCCACGCCGTGCCCTCCTCCATTCCCTTGGAGCCAGCCGCCATCAATATGCTGGTGACTCTGAAACCCACTCCCCAGCCCCAAGGCTGGGGAAGCTGTGCTCCCGCCATACCCTGAGCGCATCGCGCTGACCACGTTTGGTTGCCCCCAAGTCCAGGAACCCGGGCAGGCAGGTACCCTGCAGGTTGTGTTTTGTACAAGAGCACTCACTGGGAGAGAAGAAGAAGCCGAAACGCAGCCCACACCTGGCTCGCTGGGGCCTTTGCCCGGGGAATGGGGCCATGCCCACCTGAAGGAAGGGGATCCTCTTCTCATTTGCACAAATGGGCCAGTGGCAGCCCTGCTCACTGCCGTCTCCCTGAGCACAGGGTAGGCACTCCACAGCTGTTTCTTGCACTAAATGAATCGAACCCTTCATCCCCACCAAGGGTCCGCCTCCCCCTCTCCCCTGCCCCCACCCCCAGCTTTCTCTCACAGGTCTGCCCTCGTCCCTGGACTTACCCACTGTGCAGCAGAAAAAGAGTGAGCTCAGGAAGGACCGGTCTGCAGACCCGCTAAACCACTGGGGCTTCACCTTCTGCAGCAGCTTCCCGAGACCCCGCTTCCTACCTTCCTCAACTCCAGAAAGAGACAACCGGCGTGAGAGAGAAGGTTACACCCTTTAAAACAGGTTCCGCCCAGGGGAAGGGGCGTCTTCCCCAGGGACCACGCCCCCTGCCTTGCGGCCCTCATCAACACTAAATGGAGGATCTCAGAACCCTTTGTTCAATGTCTCTGCAGTTTAGGAACTGCTCCAGCACCTGCAGAGATTAGGAGGCCACATAACCCTGTGTGCTGAGCACCCCAGAGAGAGGCCCACGGGGGTCCGGCCTGAGCTCAGCCATGGAATTGCCCTGTGGCCTTTCTGAACTTTCGGAGCCTTGCAACAGGGCCTACTAACTTCTGCTCTGACTCTTTCCCCGGGTCTTGAGAACTGAAAGAAAAAGGCTTTTATGAAATGCAGGCTCTTGCGTGATTGCAACCCATATGCACTCCTGGAAGCCATTAAGCCTGATGGAGTGTGGTGATCATACTGGGATCAGCTGGCTGAGGCTACCTGGGAAGACTTGGCGGAAGCAGGCCTGGGGGCCCTAGTTTCTCGGGGAGGTGTCCAAATGGTACCTTTGGCCTGGCAGCCAGTGGGTTTTAGGGATCCCAGAAGTCACCTGCCAGCTGGGACAGTTGTAAGAAGATGTCACAGAGCCTGGCACAGCAGGAAGTCACCACTCGTTTGAATGGGCACCAACCTGGGAGTCCAGACACCTGCAATCTAGACCCAGTTCTGACCCTGCCTAGTTCCTGTAGCCGTGGACAAGAGGCGTCTTTCTGAGCCTCAGTTTCCCCATCGGGGAGGCAGCATGACATGGCTTTGGAATCTAAATGTCTGGGGTTGAATCCCTGGCTCCATTTTCTAGTGGGTGACCTTGGGCAAGTTGTTTAACTCCCAGTGTCTCAGTTTCCTGATCTGTAAAAGGGGGACAATTCATATCCCCCTCATAGGGTGGGTGTGAGGATCAAGTGAGACAGTGCATGAAAAACACTTGGCACAGGGTCTGCACTAACCAGCACTTACTGAGCATTTTAATTTCCAGTGAAAATCAGTACAAAATGCGGATGGACCAGCTCTGTTTTCCTATACCATTCTGTGCATCAGAATCACCCAGGAAACTTATTAAAAATAAGATTCCCAGCCCAGTCCTGGAGATCCTGATTAAGTGGGTTTGGGGAAGAGCCTGGGAATGTGTATTTTAGACCAGCTCTTTGGACGATTCTGACGCATGGCCAGGTTTGGAAAGCCCTGAACTTGTTGACAGTCTGGACGCAGTGATGGCTCAGAGTGTCTGACGGCAGACGGCATCTCCTGGGTCATCTGAGTAGGCTTGTGTCTGTCTGGCACAGATGCAGAGAGAAGGAGTAGGACCCTCCACGGAGAGGAGACTCTGCCACCTGTGATCAGCCTCTGGTCCGCCCCCGCTGGAAGGACCTCCCACAGGTTGGAGGGGTCATTGCCAGCCTGGCTGAGGACCTGTCATACCACAGGACCCTGTTCTTCCCTTGAACTTTAGTCTGTTTTTCCTTTGTCTTTTATTTACTCTCTATTATTTTATCTTGCTGTGTTGAATGCATCTTTCCAACCTTTAGGAGACAGTATGGAAATAAGTGACAAATACGAATGAAAAGCAATAAGGACATATATAAAGTGCCTTGTGCCTTCCAAGAGGCTTCATGTCCATTGTCTCATCTGCTTCCCACAGGGTCCCTGTGATTGGCAGGCCTGAGATTGTGGGCCTTCTTCTCCCTGGCAGACTGAGACCCAGAGAGGGCAATCTGCCCCGGATCACACAGCAAGCTGGGAGAGCAACTGGGACCGAAACCAGGACCCAAGTTCTTCTCACAACACCTTCTTCCTCCCCTGAGTCCGACCACAAAAAAAGGCCACTTGAAACAAGAAGTAGGAGAGCAGGGGGCAGGTTACTATCTTGGCAGTCCAAGCCCAATTTGGATTGTTCCTTTAATTCCAGTCCTTGTAAACTGAATCATGGGGTGGGGCAGGCAGTTCTGAGGACCAGCCTAGGAACCCACAGCTCCAGATCTGGTCACCCATCCACCCCACCCCACCTCATCAAATCTCCAGCAATCCATCCTCCTCAGAGCCTGCCGGTCTGGGTGGGGCTGGGAACTGAGGCAAAGGGAAGGGAGAGCCCACTGGGTGCTCAGCACTTTTCCTACATTCTTTACATCAACCCTGAGAGGCCGTCCATTATTCCCACCCCCATTTTACAGAGGGGAAAACTGAGGCCCAGAGAGAAGTCACTTGCCTAAGGTTGCCCAGGAGTGGGCAGGATGCAAGCAGAGGGCTCCCAGACTCAGCTTCCTACAAGGCAGTTCTCTCCTCTCTGGGGCCTGCCTCTACCCAGAGAGAAAAGGCCCGCCCTGCCCAGGTTTTCATCTACCTGTTCTGTTGCATTTCAAGATGTCACAGAGGTTCTCCAGGAACTCCTCAAACTCCGGGTCATCTGCCCCCAGGTCCTGGCTGCCCTCAATGGCTGAGAAGAGCTCGGCACCCACCAGCGCGTATGTCACCAGGGAGCAGTGGAAGCAGAGGCGAGGGAAGATTTTCCTCAGGGCCTCCCAGCAGCACCTCCTATCTTGAGGCGGCCCCGCAGCCTCCATCCTCCCAGGAGTGGGCAGGACAGGAGCTGCTGGAAGAGGGAGGAGCCCAGAGGTCCCGCCAGGGAGGAGGGGGGGTGCCCCGAGAATGGCCCGGCTCCAGCGCTTCCCCCAAGGACTTGGGAAGCAGGCGGCACTCCTTGCGCGTTCAGTTCCTGAGAGTTTCTCAGATAGCGCGCCCCCTAGTGTCTCAAATTACTATTGATCCACCAGGCAGGTGCGCTCCCAGCAGCCTGGCCCTCCTGAGAGCTGACCTTCAGGGGCTTTGGGAGGAATGCGTGGTGGTTGCTTTGTGCTTTGGCCTGTGGTACCCTGACTCTTGGACAGGTAGAAATAATAGTAATTAGTGCGGCCAGAGCTCCACAGTTTACAAATGGCCTTTATTCTGTGTGGATCTAATTATTGGTCCCAATTCTTCATTCCCCTCTAGCAAACCCAGACTTGCCTTGGCCTCAGGGTGGGCAGAGCATACTTCCTTCTTAGCATTGGACTAAGCCACGTGACTTGCTCCAGCCAATCAGGTGTTAGCAGACATGACTTAAGCAGGGACCTGAAAAGTAAACGTACAATGGGACCTGCTCCCCTGGGCCTTGCCTCTGCCACTAGGAAAAAAAAAGTGCCCCACATGGTGGATGTGGAGACGTGTGGGTGTTTAGATCCCCCTTCATGAAAGGTTTCTCCATGCACTTCAAGGAGCATGGGTCCTGACAGCCTCCAGCTATCCGTTCTTTCGGGGTTTGCTTCAGCTTTCAGGCCCTGTTCTCCGGGAAGCTCTTGTCCAATGGCTGAGCAAGGTGGGGTACAAGAGCTTAACCATTTCTGCCGCGTGCCGGACTCCTCCAAGCCGAAATCTTCGCTCTCTGTTGGTCTGCCAGAGATTTTGTCAGGTCTGCATCGTGATATGAAGGCTCCCCTTGTCCCATCCTGTTTCCTCCCTTCGCCTTTACTTCCTAATAAATAGAGCTTTTGGATGCCTTACTCTATCTGTGTCTGCTTCGCAGAGGATCCA